GCTGCAGCCGCTGCAGCAGTTTGCTGCCATAAGCTACCATGTGTGGCCGGCAGCCAGCGTGAGCGGCTGGCAGCTGGTGTGAGCTGCCAAGAGCTGCTGTGAGCGGCTGTCCAATGGCGGGCGACCAATCTGCCTCACCCGGGAAGAGCGCAATGATAATACCAACATGGGCCAGTGAAGTGACGTCCTCCACAACTAGACTGAAGAACAAAAGGACAGCAACTAGTCTGTTCCCCGCCCCCAATTCCCTAATAAAATCTTTAAAAAAAAACAGGAACTCATGTAATCTAGCAAACAAATTTTGCTGTTAACATTATCCATCTACTCCCAAGTTCTATATCAAAATTGAGAAACAGAGCTTTTATCAAAGGGTGAAAATTAGGATTAAAGCTTTTCTTCTTTGTAATACTTGCCAAAGAAATAATTTTTTTGCCTTTTTGTTTTTTCCTGAAAGAGGAGTAGAAAGAGATTACTGCAATAGTTAAATGCCCTTTACCGGCTCTGAAGGCTTTTCCTAACAAGGACAAATAATATATCAGACTCACTTTGCCATTTCCGCAAATAGAATGCTGTTATATTTACACTGTTCAGATAAAGAACACTAGGCCATAAGGAAGTTGTGATTTCATGTCTCACAATAAAATGGTTTTTGAACCTTTGTTAGCTGTTATAAAATGGCCTGTTAACAACTATCATGAAATAAAATTTCTCCCACACTGTTCATGTAAATACACGTGTGCCTGGTTTTAATAGAAAACACAATCCTGAAAGTTGTATATCTACCCAATCATATTTTAAATCTGTCAGGAAAGTATACTATTGAAAGGCACTCTCCCAAGTACTACCTAAACACAACTTGTGCTTTAAAATTTAATGTTTAAAACTTACTTTTCTTAAAAAAAGGCTAATTTACATTTTTCATGCATTTTCAGACATCTGAAAAGAAAAATACCATGAACCTACTATCAGGCAAGCTGTCAGGGAAGATGCCAAGTGCTATTTAGTTTTGACTGAGAGGCAGAAACAGGATCATGCAATAGACAGAAGATAAGTCTGGAGAGAACAGTTGAAGAAGCTAATAAAGTAACGGGAGTTGGAGGTTGGATTTGATGACTTATAAGGTCATGTACAAATTATAATCATATATTGTACGGTACATTTGAACAGTGATGATGGATAAATGATTGGTTTACGTTCCTATTCTCCCTTGTGAGTAAGGTGTCAGGGTTAGAATCTAAAAGCAGAAAATTAAGTTCAACTTCCTCTGATATGAAATCTGACCATGGCTTAAGACTTAAGAATATAACTATTGTAAACACAACCTAGAACTGATTGTTTTTAGAAAGTCACAAAAGTAATTCAATGAAAAAGAATAGATGATTAAAAAAAAATCTCAAAACCCATCTCACACCATACAAAAATTTAATTCCAGATTTCTTAGGATTCAGAAAGCAGTAATCATGAAAGAAAAAAAAATTGATAAATTTGACTTCATAAATATTTAAACTTAACTTCTGCTCATCAATTGACACCATTAAGTAAATAACTAGGCAAGCCACAGAACAACAAAATATTCATAGAACATATATTTGGCACAGGACTTATATCCAGGGTATATTAACAATTCCTACAAATCAATAATGAAATGACACACGTCACAAAAGATATACAACTGACCAATATAAGCATGGGAAATAGTGCTCAAAATCATTAGCCACAGGGAAATGAATTACCACTATGTATCTACTAGAATGGCTAGAATGAAAAAGACAACACCAAATATTGTCAAGAATGTGAAACAAAAAGAACTCTCATTCACTGCTGATGGAACTAATTGGCAGCTTCCTGTAAAAACTGAACAATATCTACCGTATGACCCGACAATTCCAATCTTAGGTATGTACCAAAAAGAACTGAAAACACATGCACACTAAAACATTAACAAAATGCCATAGCAGTTTTATTTGTAGTAGTAAAAAACTGTTAATAGTCAAACTGTTCATCAACATTAGAATGGATAAACAATTTGTGGCATATTCCTGCAATGGAACACCACTCAGCTTTAAGAAGGAACAAGCTCCTTACACTTGCAATAACATAGATGAATCTCATAAATATATATTGAGCAAAAGAAGTCAGATGATTTCACTTACATGAAGTAACAGAATCGGCAAAACGAATCTATGGTGGTCGAGACCACATCAGTGGTTGCTTTTGGAAAAGAAGGGATTGACTGAGAAAAAGCAAGAAGGCACTCTAATGGGTGGTGGCAGTGTTCTAAATCTTGATACGGTTGTGGGTTACACAAGAGTATACATTTGACAATAAAATTATACACTCGAATGTTGTATATTTTACTCAACCTAAGTTTTACTTCAATTAAAAAAAAACTTCCATTAAAGTAATTATAAATACAGCAATTCTAATAGGCTTGCTTTACAAAGTGTTATCAGTTACTAATTCTGAAACTATATTCTGAGTAGCCTAGGCTTCTAAAAACAAGTAAATATATTAAAATAGTGGCAGTCAGATTTCTTACAGTTGGCAAAGGGGAGATACCACTTTGTGGTATTTATTAGCTTGAAATTAGAAGTATCAGTATAAAATCATGGTTTTTAATAGATAGGTATTAATTATCTGTATATATTCATGTGTAGGTATATTTGTATGTGTTTATATATGTGTATCAATACACACAAATGAGTATGTATGTGTATATAAGTGTACATTCACATACACACACATATTTCCTAGTTCTGCTGCAGAAAGGGCCCAGACGCAATAATATACCAGTAGAAATAAGCATACTCAGTGCCCCAAACTTGAATTTTATATACTATTACCAATTAAAGAACCAAGGGTTTGTTGGAGAAATTTCTGTTTCTGGGCTACAGCAAAGAAACCACAAGAACAGTCAAGAACAACTTGTTGTACCAGAAAGTAAAGAAGTTCTCAAAGAATCACAAGAACACACAATAAGTACAGAAGAGCCAGCTTAATGGAGCAACCAGTGGCCAAAACTGGGACAATTTGAGGATCAAAATAAATAATGATAGCAATGCACTATAAAACATTCAATAAATAAGAATCCATAAGTCCATAATGATACAAGTCAATAAATGGGGAAAAGGAAAGCTTTTGCTTACATTAGAATATCAACTACTAAATGCATAAGGAATGATGGGAGTTAGAAAAGCATCAATGGATGCTAAATCTCGCGGGTAAAAATTTGATGAGGAACAACATATTCACACAATTTCAAAGTTCTACTTATAAAATAACTTTTTAATTACGAAGGGAAAATAAGAAACCTTTAAGTGGAGAAACTTAGATACTACCCTATGCGAGTGATCAAAGCTACTTGGAACCAAGTGCCATCACGTGCCTCCTGATATGATGCACTGAGAACACATCACTTCTATATTTGTGCTAAAAATGCATACCCAAATATAATCAGGAAGAAACAGCAAACAGACCCAAATTGAGGGTATTCTATAAAATACCCTGCACTCTACAAAAATATTAAGGTCATGAACCATAAAGAAAGGCAAGGAACTGTTACAGATAAGAAGAAACTAACGAGGTATGAAATGTGTGATCCTAAACCAGGAAAAAGAAAGCTGTAAGAAACCCTGTGAGGTTCATATTGTTTTATCCTTTTTACAAATAAGAAACCCAAAGTCATACAGCTAGTACATAGTAAACAATACCTATAAGGTATGTACACCTAGCCCCCTAGCTAACTATATCAGAGGACTACAGTTGCAATTAAAAATCTTCACATACACTAAATTCAATTAAAGTATTCTCTCATATTTTTCAACAGAAATAATCGAATGTGTCACCCTAATTGTATCAAAGTTGAACATTTCAAGTTATATTTTAAAAAGGTATAGTGAATGTAAGGCTATCTGTCATTTATTTACTCTAGAGCAGCGGTTCTCAACCTTCTTAATGCCGTGACCCCTTAACACAGTTCTTCATGTTGTGGTGACCCCCAGCCATAAAGTTATTTTCGTTGCTATTCTATAACTATAATTTTGCTACTGCTATGAATCTTAATGTAAATATTTTTTTTGTTTTCCTATGATCTTAGGTAACCCCTGTGAAAGGGTCGTTTGACCCCCAAAGGGGTCACGACCCACAGGTTGAGAACCGCTGCTCTAGAGCAACTTGTTTTAAAAATGTTTCATTAGGGGCCAGCCAAGTGACTCAGTTAAGAGTTAGCTTAAGAGCGCGAGTTCTGAGCAACAGGACCGCTGGTTTGATTCCCACATGAGCCAGTGATGCTGCGCCTGAGCTGAGCTGCTGCTGAGCTGCCAACAGGTCAGGATGGCTCAGCTGGTGATAGCATGTGCTCCTAACAACAAGACTGCCTGTTCGATGGTGGGCTACATACCCGCCCGCAACTAAGACTGAACTCAGCACCTTGAGCTGAGCTGCCATCAGGAAGGCTCAGTGGATAGAGCGTGCACTCTTAAAAACAAGGCTGCCGGGTTCGACTCCCACATGGGATGGTAGCTATGCTCACCTGCAACTAAGATTGAACTCGGCACCTTGAGCTAAGCTGCCATCCGGATGGCTCAGTGGATAGAGTGAGCGCTCTTAACAACAAGACTGCTGGCTCGACTCCTGCATGGGATGGTGGCTATGCCCACCTACAACTAAGACTGAACACAGCACCTTGAGCTTAGAGGCCACGAGCTGCCGACGGGCAGCCAAATGGCGACTGGCGCCCTCCACAACGAAAATTGAAGAACAACTTGGTTGGTCCCCTTCCCCAATTCCCCAACACTGTTCCCCTCCCCCAATTCCCCAATTTAAAAAGAAAAAGTTTTATTAGATATAAATGAAAGTAAACTCTGGCTCGATGTGATAAATAGAAATTACAATAGAAGCAATTGTAACCTGCAAAACCTAAACCATAATAAATAAAAACTCACATCGTTAGCATTGTTACTGAATTCAAGCTTCCGTAAACTTACAAAAGGTACACATACCTTTTCCTAAATGTGTGTTTATGCTCATATATCTAGCTGTTCCGGTAAGGCTCTTGTGTTCTCTGTATGGTATGTGTTTCTTTGTCTCTGGATCAATATATTCCTTTGCCAAACCAAAATCTATAATATGAATAACTTGCTGGGTTTTATTTCCTGGTCGTCCTATTAAGAAGTTCTCAGGTTTTACATCTCTGTATATCAAGTTCTTTGAATGGACATATTCCATGCGAGAAATCTTGATTAAAAAAAAAAAAAGATAAATTTTATTTTAGGCCTTGACTACATAAAAAAGCACGACAGAATCAAGACAAAATTTTCACAATAAAAACATTTAAAAATTCAAAAATTTTGTCAACCCTTTAAAAATAACATATCAGTCTAGAGTTTCTCAAATATATATCCAATTATGATTTAAAATCTTTGCTTTTACTATTTTGGTCACTTACAAATGAGTGTTTGAATTTTATGAATTCTTTTCATATCAGTAAGCCTGATTCAATCAACACTTTCAGATGATAGTCCTCATAAAATCAAAGAGCTTCACCAATATAAAATTTTGAACTCAAAAGTATAAACAGACATAGTCACAAAGTTGCAATTTATTCTTCCTATCAGTTCAGTAATCAAGCCACTTTTACAATTATATTAAAAACACTTAAAGAATCTAAACTGTTAATAAAAACAACTAATAGCACCCTTCAGTATATCTTTTTCCTTTTTATAACTTGTTTCCTTTTTTCCTTAGGTATTAAACATTTTAAAAGATCTTGAAACTAGAAAGCTTTGGACTATAACTCTAATAATACAGTACATTTTTATTAACTGTTTTACACATTCTCAAATAATTTTCACTGTACAAAAGGTTACAAAATAGAACATTACAAGTAACAAAGAAAATAAAATTGCTTCATGTAGCGATAATCATGGTTGACAATGCAATGTAAACATATAGTCACTCAGGCCATTTCAGTTTGTTTGTTAACAAACTTTGGATCATATAATATATAATATTCTATGACCTATACTTTTAATTAATGATATATTATGAGCATTTTCCAGGTCATGAAACATCTTTTAATCATACTTTTAAATGGCTGCATATTATTTTATGGCTATTAATAATTTATTCAACCAGCCCTGTTATGACCATACATTTGGGGTCTTTCCCACTTTATTATAAACATCCTTGCACAAAAAGCTTTAAATACATCTGAATACCTCCACAGGGTAAACTTGTAGGAGTAGAATTAATGAGTAAACGCATAAAAACAATTTCAAAACTTCTGCTGCATACTCTTATTGGCATTTACTTCAATACTGCCTTACAATCATCCTCTAAGTCACTTCCCCATAGGTTCCCTGAAATTTAAATAATTTATGAGACTCTCTCATTAGTTTATTTCCTCTTTTTCTTGGTCATTAGAATTTATTACCAAGATTTAGAATCCGTGTTTCTGAAGGTTATCTAAGTGTTCTTCTAAACAAAAAAGTGCTGGAAATAGTTCTCAAACTGAGCATTCTGATCTTAAAGCAGTAAGATATTAATTCTTTCATACAAATAAAATACATTTGAGTCAGTTATTTTAAGTTATATCATCCTGAAAATACAATGATATGAAAAGCAGAAACATTTTTGTTAGGTTAAATGCTCTGTAAGATAATCTCACAAAACTTTAAACTTTTAATATAAATTTGTGACCACAGAACCACACAATTGTTCAAACAACTTCGAACCATCCTGCTTTACTTACCAATTGGATAGCTATCATGAGAACTGTTTTAAGAGAAAATGTTCTGTCACACAAGTCAAACAAATCTTCCAAACTAGGTCCCAGCAGTTCCAGCACCATAGCGTTGTATTTACCACAAGGGCCAAAATAGTAAACTTGAGGTATACCATCTGGGGGAAAAGAAAAGGGATTTCAATAATTTCCTCATCTTCAATATCAAACTTTCCTTCCTAGAAAAATCAATAAGTATATGTTTTTAAATTCTGTAGTGTCAAGAACTGCAGCAGTATCTTTACTTTTTCTATACACACAATGAACTTTTCCTGACCCAGACGTCTCGTTGATGTGTTGCCTGGTTACACCTCTATTGCAGCTCCATGACTGAACTACATTACAAACAGTGCTTCAATGTTAGTCTCTACCAGCTCATCACAGACAGAAACTGGGCATTTTAGCCTTGTATTTCCATTACCTAGAGAAATGCCTGGCACTCAGGAAAGATTTGATTTTTACTGAACAAAGGAGTCACTGTTCTCCTTAATAACCCACTGATAGGCATAAAGCTAAGATCACCCTCCAAGATTTCCATCCTCTGGTGTACACACCCCATATAATCCCTTCCCCCTAACTATGGGCAAGATTCCAAGATTTAACTCTTGTGATTAGGTTATGTTATATGGCAAAGGTGATATAATTAATGCCTCTACCAGTGAACTTTAAATTAATCAAAGGGAGATTATTTTGGTGGGCCTGACCTAATGAGGTGAGCCCTTTAAAAAGATGGTCCGGAAGTCAGAGATATTCAAAGCAGCAGAGGTGCTCTCCTGCTGGCCATAAAGAAGCAAACTACCATGTTGTGGAGAGGGTCACATGTTAAGGAATGGTGGGCAGGCTCTAGGAACTGAGGGCCTAGGTCTCACAACCACAAGGAACTGAATTCTGAGAATAACCAGTGAGCTTGGAAGAGGACCCTGAACCTCAGATAAAGATTGCAGTCTAGGCTTATACCTTGATTTCAGCCTGGCAAGACCCTCAACAGAGGGACCAGCTAAGCCATGCCTGAACTCCTAACCCATTGAAATTGAGAGATAATAAAGGCTCTTGTTCTAGACCACTAATTACTAAATAATTCATATTCAGCAATATAAAATAATACGTTCTCCAAGTATGAAGTCTAATTGAATAGAAATCATCTGTATTTGTTTGTTTTTAAGATTTTTATTGGGGAATTGGAGGATGGGAACAGCGCTGGGGAATTGGGGGAAGGGGAACAGACAAGTTGCTGTCATTTTGTTCTTCAGTCTAGTTGTGGAGAACGTTGCTTCACTGGCCCAAGTTGGCACCATCATTGCGCTCTTCCCGGGCACCGGCTTCTGGACGGCCGCTCACTGCAGCTGCTAGCCGCTCACGCAGGATGCTGGCTACACATGGTAGCCCATAGCAACCCACTGCCACAGGAGCTGCAGCCTACGCCTTCGCACTCCCGGCAGCCCAGCTCCAGGTTGAGCTGTTGTTCAGCATCTTAGCTGTAGAGGGCAGTGTCACTGGCCCTCATATGTGGGATCCGAACCGGGGCCCTCTGGCGTCCCAAGCCAGCTCTTAACCAATGCGCCATTCGGCCAGCCCTGTATTTTATTTTTAAAACTAAAAGACTTCCAACAAACAAACAAAATCAGTGATGAATTTATCTTAACATTGCATTTATTTATTCCTCATGAGAAAATTAACTTCTTCCATATTTAATGTCTCAGTTTTACTTCCAAGTGGTTTGAGTTTTTTTTCAGAAAGGAAAAAAGCCTTTCAACAATAAAATAAACTCTTTTTAAAAGTTTGGGGAGTACAACTTCATTCTTATTGTTTATTCTTATCATTTTAAATATTAATTATTGCAGGGGCAGAACAGGGAACATTGAACTAGAAGCCAGGACAACTAGGTTCTTAGTTTGTCCTAATATGAACCATTCAACCTTTCAAGCAGGCTTCAGTTTGCTTATCAATCATAGTAGTTTGGATAAGACCAGTTTTTCTCAAATATGAATATGAGAAAAGCAGCAGAAGCTCTGAGGATAAGGAGTTAAGATAAAATAATCATAGCAGAGTTGGGGAGAAGGGGACAAGTTCAAATTGCATACATGCTGCTCTCCCTAGGAACAGAGGTTCTCATACATCCCCATGCGTATATGTCAGCACCCCAACACACACATACATACACACACACACATACATACACACACACACACACACACACACACACACACACTGGTAATTTCCCCTTGCCACTGGCAATCACTATCTTAGTGTGAGCCACTCTTATCCAAGATGGCTAAATTCCATAAACAGCATGACATTTCATTGAGTATATTAAACAGATATTTAGTCTCCAATTTTAATGAAAATACCTCAGCTTTACCATGCAACATAATTTTACCTTAAAATATGACTCAGTACAGAGCTTTAGTTAAAAAAAAAAAAAAAGACTGAACACTAAATGACACCTTGAGATACATACTATTTTATGAGTAGTGAATGCAGAAATTTCTTAGGTAACTATTAGTAATGTATTTCGACACAAATTTTATGTCACTGAGGTATAGAATCAAGAGTTATAATTTGTTTTTTTAATCAAGAATGCAAAGCAAACACTGTAAATGCACAACTAGAATTTCATTTCCCAGGACAAGTCTGGGTAGTTTTCTAACACTGAGCAAGCAAATTAAATTGTTAAGAGTTAGGAAAATTTGAAACTAACATAGGTAGGGAGTACTCTAAGCAAAAACAAAACAACCACAGCAATATAAATATGGCAATGAAAACCACAAAGAAGAGGGTTTTTGGAAGTGGGAAGTGTGAGAGGGTAAGAGAAGAGAGTGGCTCAGAAAGAAGGCTTAGAAGGCAGAGTAATGAAGGTGTTAAGTTACTAACTGTGTCTCTTGATCAAAGTATTTGGCTACTGAATTACATGGATGCAATCCAACTCATGGGCAAAAGCATGCTTTTGTATTTGTTCTTTTATCTAGTGAATTTTCAACCATAAACTTTTACTCCACCCAATTCCAATTGTTCTAAAATTATTTTTGAGACTACTATAAAAAGCCAGCCATTGTGAATTCATCAACGTTTAGTTCTAATAACTTCCCACATCACTCATTTTCAGGGATGCTTATTAGCATCTCTAATTTTCAAGACAAGTATATTTTTTTCCCAAGAAAAGCTTAAGAATGGGCAAGAATACAAAATTCACATATTATCTGAAAATACAGTCACCTTTATTCTCCCAAAATTAATTTTACTAAACATTCTATATTTCAGCATTCCATTTAAGTGACAAAGCAACATTAATTCATTTAAGTTACAAAACATTAGGAGATCTAACACTCTTAAGGAGTGCTTAGTACTTTGTGCCAGGTAGTGAAGTACAGTACTTCAGTTCCTTACAGGTGGGCAAAAGTTAAGTATGTCATTAAAAGAAACAGAATGATGTTTCTTTCCATTTTCAGGTCCAGTAGTATTCAGTAGGAGCAATTAAAGCAAAAGAATTAGTATTTTGGGGGGAAATTTAAACCCTACAGATTTGGTTAAGAAAACCTAAAATCCGATTAGAAATAGTAAGTACAGAATTATCACATAGGCTATGTTCTTTTCCAAGAAAGTTTGCTTTAAGGCATTCTTAACCTTTAGCACAAATGCTTATACTCCCAACTCAGCAGTTTTTCAACATATGGTCTGGAAATGCTTGAGGGCTGGGGTGGGTGGTCCATGAGACCTTTTCAGGGGGTCAGTGACATCAAAATTATTTTTATAATAACACTAAGATGTTATTTCACTTTTCCACTCTGTTCTCACGAGAGTGACAATCATGTTTCCCAGGGCTACGTGACATGTAATATGATAATGGACTGAATGCAGAAAATACTGAGAATCTAGCTGTTTTCTATTAAGCCAGACATTAAAGAGATGTGCAAAATATGTAAAACAAGGCCACTTTTCTTTCATTTTTTTATTTGAAAAATACAGTTAGTTGTGATTTTAAAATATCATTTTAAATGAATTAATTTAGAAATCTTTTTATATTTGTTTTAATTTCTCATATGGTAACTAACAATAGCTATAATCCACGACAAGAGAAGTCCTCTGAAATCCTCAAAAAGTTTTAAGAGTATAAAAGGACCCTGCAACCCAAAAATTGGAGAATTGCTGCCCTAGCTGATTAGTAATCTCTGATATGAACAAAGAGGTGCAATGAGTCCAGAATTGGTAACATCACTCCATTAAAATATCACAGCACCCACATTTTGTAATAAAATTCTACCAATTAATCCCAAATAAAAGGAAAAAAGCCATTGCACTGTAAAACAAAAGCAACAGTCATTTCTGTGATAATTCTACGTACATATTTAGAAATTACTCTAAATTTCCGAAAACATTAAAAAATAACATCACCTATAAACCAGTAGTTATTGTTTATTATATTGAATTTTCAATATTATATCATGTGATGTTATTTATTATTCAGTTATTATCCTCTTTGGACTTAAATAATTAAGAAAAAATGAATTCTATCATTTTTTTACCCCCAAGCTGCAAGCTTACAAACCTTTTCTTTCTCACAGTGTGCTACTTTATATTTAAATAAAAAATAAAAATTAAATATGAAGTCATCATATTGTTTTTCATGGCTTTTTACTTTCTATCATTTCACTATTAAATAGGAAATTACAAAAATAATAAATACTGTACTTTAGAAAATTAAATCCTTCACCACCATTTAGTCATACCCTATTCAAAAGTATTTTTTGTTTGTTTAAGATTCTTATGTGATTAATCATTAAAAATACTATAATTAGGGCCGGCCGAGTGGCGCATTGGTTAGGAGTTGGCTTGGGACACCAGCTCTGAGCAGTAGGGCCCCGGTTCGGATCCCACATGAGGGCGAGTGATGCTGCACCCTCTACAGCTAAGATGCTGAACAACAGGCTCGACCTAGAGCTGGGCTGCTGTGAGTCACCAGCGACGGTGTAGGCTGCAGTGGGGCTGGCCGGCAACTGGCGTGCGTTTTCGTGAGTTGCCATAAGCAGCCATGAGCAGCCGTCCAATGGCCGGCGAGCAACTACCTCACCCGGGAAAAGCGCTATGATAATACCAACATGGGCCAGTGAAGCGATGTCCTCCA